TTAATTTTTCCATCAACATATGTTAATTTTTCCAATCAACAAGTTGTCTGGAGTTTGCTAAGCTAATACATGTTCAATTCCTAATCCTTCATTCTTTTATCTAACCAAGAATAAAATAAATTCCAAATTTGATAGTAGTCCTTATCTTCTTTGTCTTTCAACCTCATAGTTAGTCTGTCCATCTCTGCACATTCCAATATTTTCATGATTATTTCTTCCTCTGATGGCAATTCTTCATTCTTCCAGTATCGTGCAAAAATTATTCTCGCTGCTGTGGTAATATGTAGAATTAAATATAATTTCTGCTTATTAGTCTTTTCAGACATAATGCCTAGTAAAAACAGTTCAGGTTTAAAATCCACTTATTCGCCCAATATTTTTTCTAACCACATATGTATGCTTTTCCAATAGGCCTTTGCCTTCCCACATGTCCACCAAATATGATAATATGTGCCTATGTTCTGTTTACATTTCCAACATCTATCTAACGTATTTTTAAACATTTTTGCTAATCTTGCTGGTGGAAAGTACCATCTATAAAATATTTTATACAGATTTTCTTTGTATGAAGTTGACATTGTTAATTTATAGTTTCTCTCCCATAACATTTGCCATTTTTCTATTTCTATATCATAACCAAAAATTTTGCCCATCTTATCATTGTTTCTTTCACTTGTTCACTTTCCATATCTAAAATTAACAAAAAATTATACATTTTCTTAATTAATTTCTCATCTGAGGTTAACAAAATCTCATCAAACACAGATTGATCCTTGTAAAATCCACACATTTTTACATCTTTTTCATATCTTCTTTGTATCTGCAAATGTGCCCACCAGGACAGATTTATTCCTAAATTTTCCAATTCTTGTTTAGATTTTAATTTCCCATCAATATCTAAAATATCTTTATATGTCCATACTTTTTCAAAGTCTACCAGATTCGGATGTATGAATGCCTCCATCATTGATAACCACCCTGGAATTTTTGAATATATTTTAGTTTTAATTTTTTCTCATACTGTTAACAAGGCATTTCTTATCAAATGATTTTTAAAGTACTTATGAACTCTGTTTTTCCTGTTTCCTTAGAATCTTGTAATGTTTTCATCTTAATTCTAGTTTTTTCCCCCTGCCAAATAAATTTCAAAACCAATGAATGTAAATTTTGAAAGAATTTTCTCTCAAGTTTTATTGGAATCATTTGAAATAAAAATAAAATCTTTGGCAACACATTTATTTTTACTGTAGCAATTCTTCCTAATATTGACAGTTGGAGATTTTTCCATCTTTCCAAATCTAGCTTTATTTGCTTCAATAATTTTATATAATTGTCTTCTTTTATTGACGAACACTTAGCCGAAAGATGAATACCTAAATATTTAACTTTTTTCACTATTTATACCTCTGTTTTTTCTAGTATTTGCCTTTTTTGTTTATCTGTGAGGTTCTTTACTATTACTTTAGTTTTATCTTTATTTATTTTTAGTCCTGCCACTTCTCCATAGTCTTCTATCTTTTCCCATAGTTTAGGAATCATCTCTAAAGGTTCTTCCAAAATAAACACTAAATCATCGGCAAATGCTTGTAACTTATATGTTTCATCTTTTATTTTCAATTCTTTAATTGCTGTATCTTGTCTTATCCTTCTATTTAATACTTCCAAAGTAAAGATAAATAATAATGGGGATAGTGGACACCCTTGCCTTTTCTTATCTCAAAATTCTCAGTATAATCTCCATTCACTATCACTTTTGCTGTCTGGTTATTATATATTGTTTTTTATCGTATTTATAAAGTTCTTTCCAAAATCCATTATTTGTAATTGTTGAACCATAAATTGCCAAGAAACATTATCAAAAGGTTTTTGGACATCTAAAAACACTAATGCTAGTTGTTTCATTACTCAATGTGGATTACAAAATTTTTACTTCAATAATGGAGGAGAGACTGAAAAGATACTTAGTTGAGTTTATACATCCAGATCAAAATGGCTTTTTACCAAAGAGACTAATCAAAAATAATTTAAGGGTGATAATGGAAATATTACAATATTATGAATTACACCCAAGGAAACAATTAGCATTAGTGTTTTTAGATGCCCATTGCTCCATTTGTAAGCTGTTGGCCTGGTTACATTCTCATATGAATAGCACAACAGATTGATTAGGTTATTCTGTAGAACCTAATTGAAATCTATCTAGAAGGGATCTGTAATCAGGGCAAGGAAATTGTTCTCAATAGAGTTGATACTTGGTACTTGTTTGTAGGAATTCCATCATGAATCCCCAGATGGAGAGGACTTCTAGTCCTCTGTTTCTACCAACCATAACAGACTATGAAGAAAGGAGGAAAACCAGCATAACACCATGCCATCCACCCCCAATACTCTGAGCTGATCCAGAAGGACATCATGATCAATGGTACTGAAAGCCACCAATAGGTCAAGTAGGACAAGAATAGATGTACAACCCATATTCCACCAATGTCAGAGATCACTCTAGAAAGAGTACAGAGAAGAGCAACAAAGATGATTAGGGGGCTGGAGGCTAAAACATATAAGGAAAGGTTGCTGGACTTGGGGATGTCTAGTTTAATGAAGAGAAGGACAAGGGGAGACATGATACCAGTGTTCCAATATGTCAGGGGCTGCCACAAAAAAGAGGGAGTCAAGCTATTCTCCAAAGCACCTGAAAGTGGGAGAAGAAGCAATGGATGGAAACTAACCAAAGAGAGAAGATACCTAGAACAAAGAAGAAACCTCCTGACAGTTAGAACAATTAATCAGTGGAACAACCTGCTTCTAGAAGCTGTGAATACTGCAACACTGGAAGTTTTTAAGAAGAGCTTGAATAGCAATTTGTCTGAAATGGTATAGGATTTCCTGCCTGAGCAGGGGGTTTGACTAGTTGACCTACAAGGCCCCTTCCAACTTTTTATTATTATTATGGATCATCGCACAGTCAGCCAGATGTTCAGACTGGACTTGGCATTTTGTCTACCTATCGAGTCTCTACCCAGGACCTGGGATAGGCAGATGTGCATGTTTGATAGTATTACAGATATCGTCACAGGATGGAAGCAGTTCCTAGTAAGGCCACCTTTTGCAATTGACTAATAGCAAATTTTATCAGTGCCAATGGTGCTCCAGTTGTTTTGGGATTGCACTCAAGGAGCCTTTTACTATTGGTACTACCCTTGCTTGCTTTTGCCACAGTCTTTCTATTTCTATTTGTAGGTCTTTGTATTTTGTTATCTTCTCCAGTTCTTCTCTTCTATTCTGCTGGCTGTCTCCAGGCACTGCCACGTCCACTATCCAGACTTTTTTGTCTTTCTTATCGACAATTGTTAAGTCTGGGGTGTTATGTTGCAGGTGCTTGTCTGTTTGAATTCTGAAGTCCCAGAGCAGTTTAATTTTATCATTTTCTATGACTTTCTCTATTTTATGATCCCACCAGTTTTTGCCTACAGGTAAATGATATTTTTTGCAGATCTTCCAATGCACCATTGTTGCTACTTTGTCACGCCGCTGCTTGTAGTCAGTCTGTGCGATCTTCTTGCAGTAGGTTACCAGGTGGTCCACTGTTTCTTCAGCTTCTTTGCATAGGCACCACTTACTGTCTGTTGCTGTCTTCTCAATTTTGACTTTATATGCATTATTATTATTATTATTATTATTATTATTATTATTATTATTATTATTATTAAAAATGCAATCAATACTGTTTCTTACCATACCTTGGCCTCAATCCTGACTGAAAAAGATCCAGGTAATCTGCTTCATCCAAGGCTTTTGGTAACATCTACTGAGATCCCATTTTTTACATGCATTCTTCTGTGATAAAAGTTTTAATATTAGTTTAAAGCAAGGGCTTTTTCCCCAGCTCTCCAGCCCACCAAATCTTTATCAACTCTGGATGCAATAACCGTGTATTCCCACAGCTGAGTTATTATTGTTATGATTAGCTGGACTCTCATCCATATTCCCCTTCCCTGCATCAACTAACTATAAAGCAAAAGAGGAAAATGTCTGCATTTTAATCTGTTGTCAAAGCAAGAACATCCGATATTAGCAGCGTTGACAACTAAATTCACATACTTATGTGATATTTTTTTCTTTTTATGACCCTGTAATCCCTTCATTCGGGATGGAATCAGGATGACTGAATAGATATTCTGAATACTACAGAATATTCTCATAGGGCTGGAATGATTCAATTTTAGAGACAAAAAGGAATCTAATCTTCTATTTTTTAATAGGAGAGATTCATGTTATGCAAATGTTATCAATAATAAATCCATACAATATTTCCACAGTTTCCATATAAAATACCTGATTATTGGATTTGGTGAATTGTGATTCAATCAGATATTAAAAGAGACTACTGAAAACTACTAAGGAAAGAAAGAGATGGAGAGCATGTACCCTTGTAAAAAGGAAGCTGAAAAACTAAAAGAAAATTCTTAATAGATCCACATATATGACTTAATTTCATATCTTGTCCTGACTCAAAAAGAAAATTGTCAAGTTAGATGGGGTAAAATCCTTGGAATAATTATTCTTGATGATAGATGTATTAATTTTATTAAAATGTGTGTTTTCTTATAATAACTAATAACATAATAAATAAAAAGAATAAACTTAGAGGAAAAATTGTGTTTTATCCATTTTTTTCATTATAAAAGAAATGTGTTTATCGACCTACTGAAACTAGAATTCACACATTTGAATTTTCCCTTTTAAAAAAGAAAATAGCTAATAAAAATCAGGTTTTCTTTGTTTAACTCAAAACATATAAGTATTCCCCACTAGGTTATGTGAGCCTTCTTTGAAAGTTGTGGGGAAAAACCATAATTTGGCAGAATTCTTCATAAATTCAGGTTTCAGAGCTATAAGTAAACCACAATGCTAAACAATCTCTTCACAGGTATAAGAATATATTTAAAAGATTGGATTTTGACATTTCTCCTCTCAACTTAAAAACATAATCAAAAAGGTTTTTAAACATGTCTTCTTATCAGTTGTTCCCTGCGATTTAAATCAGGTCTAAATACAATTATGTAACATTTGGGGGAAAAGATGCATCCGAGAAGCCCAGCACTAGAGGACAAAATGGAGAAGATCTCCACAGCCACCATAGCTTTTCCTTTGGTGCTCAGGTAGGTTGGAACAAAGGAGACCCACACACTGCAGAAAGCGAACATGCTGAAGGTGATGAACTTTGCTTCATTAAAGCTGTCAGGCAGTTTACGAGCCTGGAATGCCACAATGAAGCTGGCAAGTGAAAGGAGAGCCATATAGCTCAGAACACAATAAAACATAAAGACTGAGCCTTCATTGCATTGTAGAACCATTTCTTCAGTTGTTGAGTGCATGTCTAATTCTGGGAATGGGGGAGAGGTGGATAACCAAACAATACAGATGCTTGCTTGGAGTAGAGAGCAGAGAAGGACAATAGAAACAGCCAGTCTTTTCCCCACCCATGTCCTTATCTGAGATCCTGGCTTGGTGGCCTTGAAGGCAAGAGAAACAAGGATGGTTTTGGCCAACACACAAGAGATGGACAATGAGAAGGTGAGACCAAATGCAGACTGTCTGAGGAGACAGGTGACTCTCCCAGGTTGTCCAATAAAGAGCAAAGAGCAGAAGAAGCAAAGGAGAAGGGAAATGAGGAGAATGTAGGTGAGATCCCGGTTGTTGGCTTTCACAATAGGACTGTCTTTGTGCTTAATAAATATTCCCAACACCCATATTGTACTGAGGAAAAATAAAGTAGCAACAGTAGCTAAACTGAGTCCTAAAGGTTCTTCATAAGACAAGAAGCTAATTGTTTTCATGATGCATCCATCTTTCCTATGGTTTGCATATTGATCATCAGGACATTGGAAGCAAGCAACAGTATCTAAAAGGAAAAAAAATGGCAAGGCAGATTCAGAAGAATGCTACTTTTTAATTTTCATATTTATCCACTCCCTGATCTTTATGTCCTTGGTACAAATGATAGAATCTACAATATGAACATGCATTTGAACATCTTTCTATATATATTTTGTGTGTTCTGAAATTACGTCAAATATTGCTTTGATTATACACAAGGAAATTTCACAAACTCTATGAAAATCCATTTTATCTTGATTTGCTTTCTTATGATATAGAAGTGCTCCAATAAAGATTCATGAATACCTGAAGTGATCATTTTCATATTTGAAACCATATTGATTTATTGAATATTGAACCATATAGATCACATTTCAAAATATGGCACATAAGTATAATAGTTTCACCAAATTCAAAGTGAAAGATGAAAGATAATGTTTCAAGGAGGAAATTGTAAAAAGGTTAGTAATTACGTATTTGAAGTATATATCCCTTTTTTATTTAATATCACTATTTTTGTTGTTTGTTTTTCTATGTTTCTTTTAAAATTTCATTTCTTGTGTTTACCTCCTAAAGGGAATATTGGAATCAGTCTGCATTACATATACAATACTTAGATATTATATATCCAAGAGAGATATACTCTGTAGAGAAAATATGAATAAGTATTTCACAAAGAAGCAAAACTGTGCACAAATGGATGGATGGATGGACGGAGAGACAGATAGATAGATAGATAGATAGATAGATAGATAGATAGATAGATAGATAGATAGATAGATAGATAGAATGACTGGTTGGAAAGTAAAAAGTTATTAGGATTTAAAGTAGGGACTGTTTTAATGATATTCCTCATTACATCTATAAGATTCTCATTATTGTTAAGAGATATTTTTCATTTGTTTGTCCACTCTTCCTAAGAAGTAAATACTCATTTCCTTAAATTTGAGAAATTCTTGTTTTCATTATTATATTTCAAGAGTGATCCTATTTAGTTGGTGCAGATTTGAGATTTTTAGATTCTATAGTAAAATCAAAAGATATCAATTCTGAATCCCTTCCTTCCTTCCTTCCTTCCTTCCTTCCTTCCTTCCTTCCTTCCTTCCTTCCTTCCTTCCTTCCTTCCTTCTTTCCTCTCCACATTCACAGTCATTGTTTTATATGTAAATTTTAAATTGCACAGTCATGTTTTTGTGGTTTCTTATTTCTCATCTTTAAAAAAAGCTGAAATAATTACTTTTTTTGGTGTGTATAGATTCTCTTCAGTGAAAATGCTCTGAATGCTTGCTTGGTTGTAAATCATTCCAGGATTTGTTTAATTAATTAATTGAAACATTGTTGTGATTATTATCAACCCTTGTAATTCCACTGTAAGAACTTATAATTTTTTATATATTAATGGATTTGATTTCATTACCCCATTAAGTTTCTTTAAAAAAAACTTTATTCTTGAAAAACCAGACAATTTAATTATCAGAAAGTGTTCAACACACTGGCCAGTATAACAACAAAATTGAATGATTTGTTAACTTACCCCTCTCTTTAGAGATTTTCCCCTCTGGACATTCAACACAATCATAACAACAGAATTTCTTTCCTTCATTCTTCCTCTTTTGATAACCAGGGAGACAACGTTCATTGCATAGAGAAATGGGAAGCACCTATTTATCAGTATTAAAATATTGGAAGATGAGCATTTATTGTTTTGAAGAAAATTCTGTTGTTACTCTGAAAATGAAGTATGCAGTTACATTAAAAGAAAAGTCCTATCTCAATGTTGTAAAATAAGAAATTGATTAGATTTGATGATTTATTTCAAACATAATTCAGTACATTTCAATTTGTCCTCCAATTTCATTTTGTGAACACAACTGATCTGGATTTCCAATTTTTGTTTTGTTGAAATTCTCATATCAATTTAATTAAAGTTTTATTAATTCAAATCATCAAATTGACCAGAAACATTGAGTCAATTAGTCACTGATTTGAACACGGATTTGATAAAGCTTCATTCAACTAGAGAAATATAGTCCCATAAAAGGATGGTTTTTTTTTTATTTCTCATTTACATTTCAATATATGAGAAAAGTCAAATAAATATAGTGTGGAATACCAGATATATTTAGCCTTTAATAATTAAAGAGGGAAAAAAAAGTTATTTCTTAATCTGGTTATCTTCATGGGTTGCCAAAAAGGATAAAAGTAAATATGCCAATTTAATGAATCCATATTTGAATGATCAGACAAAATATTGTTGAAACCATACCTGGTTAAATGATCTATGCCAAACAATCATATCCTCATTAATGACTAATCCCTTTCCTTTTAAAGCATCAGGATCCACTTTTCCAATCTTGTGTCTCTGGAAAGTGGAATTGGGAAAGACAACAATGTTTATCAAATCAAATCCACCTTCCATCTTCATTTGATCATAAAAAGTCAAAATTTCTCCAAGAGAATTGTTGAATTTCATGCCTTTCAGAAATTGGTGGAGCTATATGATTGGGAATAATAAAACAGTAAAATAAAAAAATAGAAATGTATGAGCAATTTTAATCAAAGTAGTACTATACTTTTGAGTGAGAAACTCTGAAAATATGCAAAGTCCATTTCTCCAGCCTCTTGAGAATTTGTTTCTTATCCTCTGCACAGGGAAATAACAAGTAGAATCTGATATATCAGTTTGAAAATAATCTAATGAAATGTAAAGTGTACTTCTCGCCTTTCTTATCTTTTATTAGTACTGCTTTATAAAACCCTAGTAGGACCACACCTGGAATACTGCAACCAATTTTGGTCACCATGCTACAAAAAATATGTTATGATTTTGGTAAAAGGCCAGAGAAGTACAACTAAAATGATCAAAGGCCTGGAGACTAAAACATGAAAAACAGTTGCAGTACTATGGTTTGGCTAGTCTAAAAAAAAGAAGAAACAGGGGTGCCATGATAGCAGTACTCCAGTATGTAAGAGGCTGCCACAAACAAGAGTGGGTAAAATTATTCTCCAAGCACAAGAGGGCAGGACAAGAAACAAGGTTGGAAACTGATCAAAGAAAGAAGCAACCTGGAATTAAGGATGCACTTCCTAAGAATGAGGACAATTAACCAGTAGAAAAGCTTGCCACCAAAAATTGTGGCCGCTCCCTGACCGGAGATTTTTAAAAAGAGACGGGACGTTCACTAATCTGAAATGGTATAGGTTCTCCTGCTTGAGCAGGGGGCTAGACCAGAAGACCTCCAAGGTCCCTTTGAGATTCTATTCTATTCTATTCTATTCTATTCTATTCTATTCTATTCTATTCTATTCTATTCTATTCTATTCTATTCTATTGATGTAGAAAAACTAAGCCAGGTTTTTTTATTTGCTTACACACTGTAGGTAAAATCTTCCCATACTAAATACCTTGGGAGATATACCCTGAGAGATTCTAGGTTGTGGCTATTCTAACTCTCTTCCTCTGTCACCTAAGAGTTTGAGGCTGTAGTGACTCTTCTCTCCCACAAACCATTCCTGAAATGTGCTCCCTCCTTCCAAGAAAACTGCCATTTCACTATAGTCCATCACATCAGCTCCCCTCTTCATGCACCATTTCCCACAATCAAAGGGATGGAAAAAAAGGTATGGAAATAAATATCATCAATAGACAAATGTTTAAATCCATTTTAGTAGCTGCCCCTTGGTGGAATCATACACCCTAACTTTGTACTTTGCTATTATCTAATACAAAATACTTGTAGCACACAAATCACCTGCCACGGTTTTGAATCTTCATATTCTGATAATTTGTGCCTCAAAAAATGCCTGTAATTAGATCGAAGTAAGAAGAGAGCATGTAAAGCTTGAGCCAATACAGAGGCTGCATTATAGATACTGTAGCTGTGCCCAGACATCTCTACCTCAAAAAGAGCCCCAGGAATGTCCTCTAGCCTCTCCTGTCCAGTACAAAAGGGATTGACCAGTTTGGTCAAAGAAGGGGATGGTAATGAACAATCAAATACTTGTTCCCAGAAAAGTGGAAAAAATCCATCTCCTTGAATCCAAGGAGGTTTTATGAACTTCAAGAATTCCTTGAATCCTGGAATTTCTTCTGCTTGAATCTTAAAGCAAATAGCACCATCGAAGAACTGACGATCCCATTTTTTATTCATTCCTGTTAATAAATAATCCATCTGGGCAGTCATGATCCATACCTTTCCCAAAGAACTTTGCTCATGTCCAGGGCTAAGCCAAAAAATTATCTCCGTTAACCATGCAATTGTCAAAGATTCTCCACACATGACAAAAATTGTGGTCTTCTCATCACTTATGTGTTTATAAATATTTTTCCATTTATCTAACATTTCAAAAATCTTGTCCCAGTAGGTTAAAAATGGGATTCTTTCTGTAGAAGCAGAGCAGATTCCATGCTGGGAAAAGAGGGACTCCATGCTTTGCAGAAAATGGTCTCCTTGACTGTTATCAATAGCAAGGAGCCCAACCCATCTCCACCCAAAATGTTGAAGCAGTCGGATAATCCCAATGTACTGTGAGGACTCATTTGGAACCATGGAGTAGTAGAATGGAATCTCAGTGCTATGAACATCTTGTGGGGTAAATGACCCATATGTGAGCTAAAAGAAAAACATATTATGGAAATCATCATCAGTATCTTTTTCTTCATATTTTCCAACAAATTTGGTCAGATTGTTGAGTAATATGGCCAAAGAATAAGGATGTTTTAATAAGCCCAGTATGGAAAAAAGAAAATAGAGAGGAATTTTCAGGCCTCTCTTCCCAAAGGTCCTACCTGTGGAATCTTGTAAAACTTTACCAGATCTGCGATATAGGAGGAAGTTCCAAAGCTGAGCCCTCCTATGATAGAAATGAGATTTCTCCTGGTGTCACATTTATAGTTGGGGACAAATCTCTCTGATCTGAAGAGCAGGTCCAGGGTGGTCCGATAGGTCATTATTGCATTGTAGTAGCTATCATGAATATAGAAACCAAGAGTGACATTGGACAAGATTTCTGGATTCTCATTGATCTTTTTCACAGCAAAGACCAAGGAAAGGATATGTTGGTAAAACTTTGTTAGCACGCTGAAAACAAAATGAATTTACACGTATCATTAAATATTTCCTTATTATTTTCCTGGCATCCCAGAGAAGTGCTTTAGCTTATACAAATGCACAATTAGGGAATGACCAATTGAACTCTATTTACAATTCAACTACACTAAACTATTTCCATTGTTCCAGATTGTATCTAAGAAAATAATCTACCTTTCCCATCGTTCATTGCAATTCCTCTAACTGTAGATAACAGAAAGGTGTATGATAAGAAATTGGTATCCTAATTTAAAGTTTTTCCAATATAAACATTGTTGCATTAAAAACAAGGAATGCCTTTATAAAATTCTTATAAAGTATCTTTTATTAGAAAATATTCTCATTAATAGATGAAGCAATATAGAGATACCACAAGGATAAAAGTTAAGAATTCCTTACTCTGGATGGCCAAAATACTCAAGAGAGGGATGCTGCTGAAATGAAACTTCATTAAATTGGTAGTTAGCCATAGATACCATCCCACCAATGACAAAGTCCCCTTGCTGGTACCATTCATTTGGAACAGGTATTGGTTCACCTTGATGACAGGGCAGGGACTTCACTCTGAAGAGTGGAAGTAAGAGAAAAAAGAACATTCTGGACAACAACCTCTCTCTAAGTATAGATGTTCCACCAGGAGCAGATTTCCATGTAAAATTGCATTCACCACCTCAAAATTCCTATTAAGGGCAAGGCTGAAGACTAACTTTTCACCCTGATTCTTCTTACAATTAGTGATAATACTGAAAAAGATCTGAATGACAATGTAGAGTTCCAGCAACACAAATTAATTTATGGCGGTTGAAATCATAGGACTTTTGTGTTCTTCTTTTCTATTCTCCAGTCTCTATAGGGCATTCATTTTCAATATTTTTTTTCTTTTCTATAATGACTTCTTAAATTGTTTACAGTTTTGATGATGGGAGAAAATTATTGTCATTGAAATAATTTCAATGGGGAGACAATTATGTCTTCAACATTTTGTCTCCCATTTTTGACAATGTGTGTTTGTGTGTGTGTGCATGTGTGAAGCTGAATTTAGTATTTCCTAATTTATTTTCTCTTTATCTTTGTAATAATTGGAAAAGTTCAGATGTAAACTTAAATTCATCTCAAAGCTACACTTTGAATAATAAAACTTTGGTTATTTTTCACCTTTAAACAAAATGAAGGATTATTAACATCACTTCCAAGGATATTCTGGGGATAGAACATTGCTCCATTTGTAATCTGTTGGCCTAGTTACATTTTCATACGAATAGCACAAAAGATTGATTAGGTTAATCTGCAGAACCTGATTGAAATCTATCTAGAAGGGATCTGTAATCAGAGCATGGAAATTGTTCTGAGTAGAGTAGATATTTGGTACATGTTTTTAGGAATCCCATCATATATCCATTGGAGAGCTGCTGAAAGTTCCTCCATATGGAGAAGACCTCTACTCCTCTTTGTCTACCAATCTTAATTGACCCTGAAGAAAGGAGGAAAACCAGCATAACATAATATGCCTTCCACCCCCAATCCTCTTAGCTGATGCAGAAGGACATCATGATCAATGGTACTGAAAGCCACCAATAGGTCAAGTAGGACAAGAATGGATGTAGAGCCCCACATTCCCACCCATGCCAGAGATCACTCTAGAAAGAGTACAGAGAAGACCAACCAAGTTGATTAGGGGGCTGGAGGCTAAAACCTATGTATGTGATTTTTTTTTCTTTTTATGATCCTGTAATCCCTTCATTCAGCGTGAAGTCAGGACAACTGAATGGATGTTCTGAATTCTACAGAATATTCTCACAGGGTGATAATGATTCCATCTCAGAGATAAAAAGGAATCCGATCTTCTCTTTTTTAATAAAGGAGATTCATGTTATGCAAATTTTATCTATAATTTGTTGTTGTTGTTAATTGCGAAGTCGTGTCCGACCCATCGCAACCCCATGGACAACGTTCCTCCAGGTCTTCCTGTCCTCTACCATCTTCTGGAGTCCATTTAAGTTCACACCTACTGCTTCAGTGACTCCATACCAGCCATCTCATTCTCTGTCGTCCCCTTCTTCTATTGCCCTCAATCTTTCCCAGCATTAGGCCCTTCTCCAGTGAGTCCTTCCTTCTCATTAGTTGGCCAAAGTATTTGAGTTTCAACTTCAGGATCTGGCCTTCTAAAGAGCAGTCGGGGTTGATCTCTTCTAGGACTGACCGGTTTGAACGCCTTGCAGTCCAAGGGACTCGTAGGAGTCTTCTCCAGCACCATAGTTCAAAGGCCTCAATTCTTTGGCGCTCTTATGGTCCAACTTTCATAGCCATACATTGCAACTGGGAAAACCATGGCCTGGACTAAACGCACTTTTGTTGGCAGGGTAATGTCTCTGCTTTTTAGTATGCTGTCTAGATTTGCCATAGCTTTCTTCCCCAGGAGCAAGCGTCTTTTAATTTCTTGGCTCTAGTCCCCATCTGAGGTGATCTTGGAGCCCAGAAAAATAAAATCTGTCACTACCTCCATTTCTTCCCCATCTATTTGCCAGGAATTGAGAGGGCTGGATGCCATGATTTTGGTTTTCTTAATGTTGAGTTTCAAGTCAACTTTTGCACTCTCCTTCTTCACCCACATCAAGAGGCTCTTTAGTTCCTCTTCACTTTCTGCCATTAGAGTGGTATCATCTGCATATCTTAGGTTATTGATATTTCTCACGGCAATCTTAATTCCAACTTTCGATTCATCTAGCCCTACCTTTCTCATGATGTGCTCTGCATATAAGTTAAATAGGCAGGGCGACAGTATACAGCCTTGCCGTTCTCCTTTTCCAATTTTGAACCAATTAGTGGTTCCGTGTCCAGTTCTCACTGTTGCTTCTTGACCCACATATAGGTTTCTCAAGAGACAAATGAGATGGTCTGGTACTCCCATCTCTTTAAGATCTTGCCACAATTTGTTGTGATCTATACAATCAAAGGCTTTTGCATAGTCAATGAAGCAGAAGTAGATGTTTTTCTGGAACTCCCTAGCTTTCTCCATGATCCAGCGTATGTTGGCAATTTGATCTCTAGTTCCTCTGCCTATTTGAAATCCTGCCTGTACCTCTGGTAGTTCTCGATCCACATACTGCTGGAGTCTAGCTTGTAGGATTTTAAGCATAACTTTACTAGCATGTGAAATGAGTGCAATGGTGCGATAGTTTGAACATTCTTTGGCATTGCCTTTCTTTGGAATTGGAATGTAAACTGACCTTTTCCAATCCTGTGGCCACTGTTGAGTTTTCCAAATTTGCTGGCAAATTGAGTGTAGCACTTTTACTGCATCGTCTTTTAAGATTTTGAATAGCTCAGCTGGAATACTGTCACCTCCACTAGCTTTGTTGTTGCTCAGATTTTCTAAGGCCCATTTCACTTCACATTCTAGGATGTCTGGTTCGAGGTCAGTGACCATCTCATTGTGGTTATCTGGGACATTAAGCTCATTCTTGTATAGTTCTTCTGTGTAGTTTTGCCATCTCTTCTTAATCTCTTCTGCCTCTGTTAGGTCCTGCCATTTTGGTCCTTTATCATGCCCATCTTTGCATGAAACGTTCCCTTCATATCTCCAATTTTCTTGAAGAGATCTCTGGTCCTCCCTATTCTGTTGTTTTCTTCTATTTCTTTGCACTGTTCATTTAAGAAGGCATTCTTATCTCTTCTAGCTACTCTCTGGAATTCTGCATTCAATTGGGTGTATCTTTCTCTTTCTCCTTTGCCTTTCGCTTCCCTTCTTTCCTCAGCTATTTGCAAAGCTTCCTCAGACAGCCATTTTGCTTTCTTGCATTTTTTTTTCTTTGGGATGGTTTTAGTTGCTACCTCTTGTACAATGTTGCGAACTTCCATCCATAGTTCTTCAGGCACTCTGTCTATCAGATCTAATTCCTTAAATCTATTTGTCACCTCTACTGTATATTCATCAGGAATATGATTTAGTTCATACCTGAGTGGCCTAGTGCTTTTCCCTACTTTTTTCAATTTAAGCCTAAATTTTGCAACGAGACGCTCATGATCTGAGCCACAGTCTGCTCTTGGTCTTGTTTTTACCGACTGTATGGAGCTTCTCCATCTTTGGCTGCAGAGCACATAGTCAATCTGATTTCTATGTTGACCGTCTGGTGATGTCCATGTGTAGAGCCGTCTCTTGGGTTGTTGGAAAAGAGTGTTTGTTATGACCATCGTATTCTCTTGACAAAATTCTATCAGCCTGTGCCCTGCTTCATTTTGTACTCCAAGGCCAAACTTGCCTGTTATTCCAGTTATCTTTTGGCTTCCTACCTTAGCATTCCAATCCCCATGATGATAAGGACATCATTTTTGGGTGTTAATTCTATAAGGTGCTGTAGGGCTTCATAGAACCGGTCAATTTCATCCTCTTCAGCACCAGTGGTTGGGGCATAGATTTGGACTACTGTGATATTGAATGGTTTGCCTTGGATTCGAATTGAGATCATTCTGTCATTTTGGGGATTGTATCCCAGTATTGCTTTTCCTATTCTTTTATTGACTATGAAGGCTACTCCATTTCTTCTGAGGGATTCTTGCCCACAGTAGTATACCTGATGGTCATCTGAGTTAAATTCACCCATTCCTGTCCATTTTAGTTCACTGATTCCTAAGATGTCAATGTTCAGTCTTGTCATCTCTTTTTTGACTACGTCTAGCTTGCCTTGATTCATGGATCTCACTTTCCAGGTTCCTATGGAGAAAAAAATCTTTACAGCATCATACTTTCCTTTCACCACCAGATATATCCACAGCTGAGCATCCTTTCGGCTTTGGCCCAGTCGCTTCATTCTTTCTGGCACTATTAATACTAGCCCTCTGCTCTTCCCCAGTAGCATATTGGACACTTTCCAACCTGAGGGGCTCATCTTCCAGCGTCATATCTTTTTGCCTTTTAGTACTGTCCATGGGGTTTTCATGGCAAAGATACTGGAGTGGTTTGCCATTTCCTTCTCCAGTGGATCACATTTTATCAGAACTCTCTGCTGTGACCTGTCCGTCTTGGGTGGCCCTGCACGGCATAGCTTATAGCTTCATTGAGTTATGCAAGCCCCTTCACCACGACAAGGCAGTAATCCATAAAGGGGTTATCTATAATAAATCCATATAATACTTCCACAGTTTCCATATGAAGCACTTGACTATTGGATTTGGTGAATTGTGATTCAATCAGATATTAAAAGAGACTACTGAAAACTACTAAGAAAAGGAAGAGATGGAGAGCATATACCCCTGTAAAAAGGAAGCGGAAAAAAAACTAAAAAAAAATTCTTTTTTTAATAATTTTTTTCCATTTATTCATACAAAATACAGTTCACAAGATAAAATAAATTCATAACCATTGGTACAGCCTGTCCAACCCCCCCAGGCCGCGTCCACCCTCTCTGGTACCTTCCCTACTTCCCTCCTCTTTCTCTCCTCCCCTCCTACTCTCTTCTCCTCCTCTTCTCTTCTTACCATCCTACTTCCTCCCTGCACCTTCCTCCCCTCTCATCCCTCTCAAACACATGAATGCAGCATAGGGGAAATGCCCAAGCAGCATGTCTCTCACAAACTACCATATCTATATAATCCTTACCCACCCACTCACCCACCCACCCACTCACCCACCCTCAACCCTCCCCCCCTCACTTCCCATAGCAGAGTACAGGGTAATTAATGAAAAAGTTAACAATAAAAAAAAGAAAAGAAAAAAGAAAAAAAGAAAAGGAAAGAAAAGAAAAGAAAAAATATCATACTTAACCTTTAACTCCCCTTAAATTAAATCATCATAAACAAATCTCTACAACATTTGCTATAAAATTTACTCATAAAATAAATGAAACTTTGTAGTCCCATACTTTTTGTGAATATAATCTATTCATCTTCTCCATACAATAATATATCTTTCTTGTCTATGATCCTTCAAATAAGCAGAATTTTTTGCCATTTCTGCAAAATTAGAAACTTTAAATATCCATTCTTCTAAAGTAGGCAACGAGTCTTTCTTCCAATATGAGCCTACCAGTAACCTTGCTGCAGTTAATAAATTCAACATTAAAATAGTTTCTTTGTCATTTAAATCCACAAAAATACCCAATAAGAATAATTGAGGAGTAAACTTTATTTTCCTTTTAAAAATCTTTTGAATGTTCCACCAAATCATAATCCAAAAAGCCTTTACCTTTTTACAATTCCACCAAACGTGAAAATATGTCGCATCCATATTACCACATCTCCAACATTTGGGTTGTAAATTTCAATACATACAAGATAATTTTTTAGGATCTAGATGCCATCTGTAAAACATTTTATAAAAATTTTCTCTCAAATTTTGAGCTTGTGTAAATTTAACATTTCTAATCCAAATTATCTCCCATAAGTCCAATGGGATCGGTTCCTGGATATTCTGAGCCCATTTAATCATACAATCTTTGACCAATTCTATTTCCGAGTCTAATTTTATTAAAGCATTATAAATTCTTTTTATATGGGCCTGACTCTGATCTTTAATCTGAATAACCAAATTTTCATCTTCTAATGTTATTCCCTCTTTCTTATCTACAGTCCACCTGTCCACTATTTGTAAATATTGAAACCATGACTGTAGAATACCTTCATGTCTTAATACATCTAGGGATTTTAAATGCCAGTCTAAACCTGACCAAATTAATAATTCTTTATATGAAGTTTTGTCAAAGTTCATCCCCTTAGAAATTCCCTCGATTGCATGTCTAGGAATCCCCCAGATAGGTATTTTATAATTTAACCTATGGTAATACTTTTTCTAAACTTGAAGTAAGGCACTTCTCAAAATGTGTGATTTGAAAGCCCGGTCCACTTTCTTATTAAAAATTAAATATGCATGCCAACCATACATTAAATCCCACTCTTCAAGAACAAGAATATCCTTGTTTGTTAAATTAAGCCAATCACTTATCCAAGTTAAGGTGGCTGCATCATAATATAATTTCAAATTAGGTGCTTTAAGTCCCCCTCTTTCTCAGGCATCTTGCAAAATCTTAAACTTAACCCTTGTTTTTTTCCCAGCCCAAATGAATTTATTGATACCCTTCTGCCATTCCTCCAAATTTACATCTTTTTTTAAAATAGGTATCTTCTGAAACAAGAAAAGAAACTTTGGTAGAACATTCATTTTTATGGCTGAAATTCTCCACAACAGCGACAATTGCAGTTTTTTCCAATCATTTAAATCCTTTTGTACTTTTGCCCATGATAATTCATAATTATTCTTATACAATTTTCCATTTGAAGCAGTTAAATATACTCCCAGGTATTTAACCTTTTTCACCATCTGAAAACCTGTAGCATTAACCAAACTTTCCTTATCATTAACTGACATATTCTTAGGTAATATCTTAGTCTTATGATTATTGACTTTAAAACCAGAAACTTTCCCATACTGTGTTATAAGTTCTAATAGACAATCAACCGCTCGAGTCGGTTGTTCCAAAATTAAAACCAAATCATCCGCAAAAGCCCGTAATTTATATTCATTCTTTCTTATCTTTATACCCTTGATTACCATTGATTCTCGAATCTGGATCAACAAAATCTCCAATGTTAAAACAAATAACAATGGGGATAATGGACATCCTTATCTTGTCCCTTTTTCAATATTAATAGTCTCAGTCAGTCCCCCATTAACAACAATTTGAGCATATTGTTGCTGATATATAGCTTTAAATGCATGTAAGAACTTATTCCCAAAATTCATTTTCTCTACCTGTGAGAATAAAAATTTCCAATCTAATTGGTCAAAAGCTTTTTCAGCATCCAAAAATATAAAAGCCACAGGAATCTGATTGTTCTTATCCAGATACTCAATTAAATTAATAATTTGTCTTACATTATATTTCATATATCGCCCTGTTATGAATCCTGATTGATCACTGTGAATCAAATCCTTCATAACCTGAATTAATCTATTTGCCAAAATTTTAGTAAAAATCTTATAATCTACATTTAATAATGATATTGGCCTGTAATTCTTAGGCTCTGTAAAATCTTGATCCTCCTTCGGAATCAATGATATAAATGCTCTTTTCCAAGAAGGAGGAACTTGTGCTCCCAACAAAATACTATTTAAAAGCTCCTTTAATGGCTCCAGCATTTCTTCAGATAAATTATTATAATACGTCAATGTCAATCCATCTGTTCCTGGAGACTTTCCCACCTTTAACTGCTTAATAGCTAAACCAATTTCCTCCACAGTAATTAAACAATTCATCCCATTTTGCTGTTTCTCAGAAAGTTTGAGCTGCAATTTGAAACCTCTGTTTATAAAAAGCCTGTATAATTTCATTGTGAATAGATTTTCTGGAAAAGTAAATAACCACATCTCTTGGTAGGTTTCTCTGTCTGGCAACCCGTGAGTTAACTCCGAAGATTTTTTCTATCTCATTTCCAACTACTTCTGGTCTCCATCCAAGGTTAAAAGCAATATCTTTAACAATAAGCATCTTTAAATCTTCCTGCGAATTTTCTTTTAGTCCCCTGATACGCAATGCAAACTCCATTTCTCTGTATTGTGAGATAGTTTGTTCATCCTGTGTAATTCTCTCCACTTTCTCTATTCTCTCCACTTCCTCTATTCTAAATTCCAGTCTTGTTGCATTTTCAGTAATCTCCTCCATTTTATCATCAATCCTTTCAATATGCAGAGCAAGACCTTGAAACGCAAATAGTATATCATCTCTGACCTGCTTATTTTTTTTCTCCAATAGTTCTTCTGTAATAGCCCTCTCTACAATTATAAGATCTTTTACCTCCTCTTTAATATCCAAAGCATTCATTTTTAAAGCCTTGTAAGTCTTTAAGAGAAATTGCAGGAGGAGGGGAGGGTGGGGGTGATTTTGGTTTAGACTGAGAAGCAGGTTGAATCATTGGGGAGGAGATAGAAGCTTTAGGGACAGAGACCAAATGTTTTGAAGCCATTCTGTTAAATTCAAAGGAGCAAAATTCTTGCCTCTATAATATCACAGTTCTTTAAATAGTAATAAAAAGAAAAAGAGAACAAGAAAAAAAGAGAACAAAATTCTTGCCTCTATATTTAAAACATGAACTGTATCCAACTTTTAACATTGTTGCAAAATCAAACAAGAAAGACAGTCGCCATTTTGCCTTTCACTTTCCCTTTCTTCAAAAGGGAAAGTAAACAATAAAAGAGGGAGAAGATGCTGGCAGGACTTAAAGTCACAATCAATCTTAAATCCACTTTCTCCTGGTCTGCTCCGTCTGCATTTAAGTACTCACAAGCCTCCGAAAAAAGCAGATGTGGGAGCAGCGCCTTGCTTCATCCCAGCACTTCAGGACAAAGACTTCCTGGAGTGCGTAGTTGGCTCAGGCTCCGAGGGAGCTCTACCCTCTGATCCCCAAAATTATAGGGATCCAGGGGAGCTCTTTCCTCTACCTGAGCAGCTCTGTTCTTCCCTTTCTCCCAGGGAGGAGATTCAAGCCATGGGACAGCTGATTGTCAAAGTCCTGCTGGCTTTTAAACAATCCAGGAAAGGGCAGCTTTGTGAAAAGCTGCCATTGTTACTGCTTGATCCACTGGAAGTGGCACTAAAAGAAAATTCTTAATAGTGCCATATATATGACTTAATTTCATATCTTGTCCTGATTCAAAAAGAAAATTGTCAAGTTAGATGGGGTAAAATCCTTGGAATAATTATTCATAATGATAAATATATTAATTTTATTAAAGTGTGTGCTTTCTTATAATAACTAATAACATAATAAATAAAAAGAACAAACTTAGAGCAAAAATTGTATTCTTATCCACTTTCTTTGATATAAAAGTAATGTGTTTATTGACCCACTGAAACTGGAATTCACACATTTGAATTTTCCCTTTTTTAAAAAAATTGCTAATAGAAATCAGGTTTTCTCTGATTTAGCTCAAAACATATACATATTCCCCATTAAGTTCTGCGACGCTTCTTTGAAAGTTATGAGGAAAAACCATAATTTGACAGAGTTTTTCATAAATTCAGGTTTCAGAGCTACAAGTAAATCAAAATGCTAAACAATCTCTTCACACCTATAAGAATATATTTAAAAGGTTGGATTTTTACATTTCTCCTCTCAACTTAAAAACATGATCAAAAAGGCTTTTAAATATGTCTTCTTATCAGTTGATCTCTGTTGTTTAAATGAGGTCTAAATATAATAATGTAACATTTGTGGAAAAAGATGCATCCTAGAAGCCCAGCACTAGAGGACAAAATGGAGAAGATCTCCACAGCCACCATGGCTTTGCCTTTGGTGCTCAGGTAGGTTGGAACAAAGGAGACCCACACACTGCAGAAAGCCAACATGCTGAAGGTGATGAATTTGGCTTCATTAAAGCTGTCAGGCAGCTTACGAGCCTGGAAAGCCACAATGAAGCTGGCAAGTGAAAGGAGAGCCATATAGCTCAGAACACAATAAAACATAAAGACTGAGCCTTCATTGCATTGTAGAACCATTTCTTCAGTTGTTGAGTGCATGTCTAATTCTGGGAATGGGGGAGAGGTGGATAACCAAACAATACAGATGCTTGCTTGGAGTAGAGAGCAGAGAAGGACAATAGAAACAGCCAGTCTTTTCCTCACCCATGTCCTTATCTGAGATCCTGGCTTGGTGGCCTTGAAGGCAAGAGAGACAAGGATGGTTTTGGCCAACACACAAGAGATGGACAATGAGAAGGTGAGACCAAATGCAGACTGTCTGAGGAGACAGGTGACTCTTCCTGGTTGTCCAATAAAGAGCAAAGAACAGAAGAAGCAAAGGAGAAGGGAGATGAGGAGAGTGTAGGTGAGATCCCGGTTGTTGGCTTTGACGATAGGACTGTCTTTGTGCTTAATAAATATTCCCAACACCCATATTGTAGTGAGGAAAAAATAAAGTAGCAACAGTGACTAAACTGAGTCCTAAAGATTCTTAATAAGATAAGAAGCTAATTGTTTTCATGATACATCCATCTTTCTTATGGTTTGCATATTGATCATCAGGACATTGAAAGCAAGCAACAGTATCTAAAAGGGAAAAAAATGGCAAGGCAGATTAATAAGAATTATAATTATTAATTTTCACATTTATCCACACCTTGATGTTTATGTCCTTAGTGCAAATGATACAATCTACAATATGAACATGCATTTGAACATCTCTCTATGTATATTTTGTGTGTTCTGGTATTAATTCAAATATTGCTTTGATTATACACAAGGAAATTTCACAAACTCCATGAAAATCTATTTTATCTTGATTTGCACCATTTTAGGAACAGCCACGAGGAGGTGAATTCCTGAGGAGGGGGTCCAAACTGCAAGTCTCTATAGAAGGAACAAGCAGCAGATGGGACCAAGTTGCAACAAAAGAAAGATTGTGCAAGCAGAGGGCTCAGCAAGAGAAAAATTGCTACATTTGCAGTGCAAGCACACATCTGAAAAGGAACTGTTTGCAGAGGAACAATTTGCAGCAAAAGACATCTGTGCAAGCAAAGAAGACTGATTTGCAAAAGGAACCTTTTGGTGTTGCAAAAATTTGCTATAGCAACAACAGAGACAAGTGGCTAATATATAGTGGGGCAAGTCAAACAATTGTTAATGACTCTGAATTATTTTTCAGGTTTGTTCCAGTAGCACAAGAAGCTGTGGCTTTGGCAAATGGCCAGAAAGCAAAAGTCATCGGAAGAGGCAATGTAAAAATTCCATATTTGGAATCAAAGTTTACCAATATACTTTGTGTACCTGAGATGGAACATAATTTGTTAAATGTGTCTAATTTAGACAAACAAGGTTTTGAGACCATTTTTGTAAATGGGAAGTGTCTCATCAAAAGGAATGGGAATATTTGTGCAGAAGGCATAAAGAAAGATAATCTATATGTATTGCAGGGACAAAAGGTTCAATGTTCCCATATATTTAAGAATGTTGCAGAGCATGATTCATGTGTTCATCTTCTACATAGAAGACATGGCCATGCAAGCTTTAAGGTTTTGCAGCAAATGCAAGAGTTTGCAGAAGGGCTAAATTTGAAGGGATGCAAAACATATTTGGACTGTGCAGTATGCAAAGCATCGAAGTTAAAGCCATTCCCAGTTAGTAAATATAGCACAAGACAAACAAAAAGAGCTCTAGAGCTGGTCCATGCAGATCTGGTGGGACCTATGCAAGCCAGTTTGGGAGGAGCAAAGTATGCACTGGTAATTGTTGATGATTATAGCAGGTATGGTTTTTGTTACCTGCTTAGAGGAAAGATAGAGTTGCTACAACAATTCAAACAGTGGGTACGTTTTGTAGAGAGAAAGTACAGACAACAAGTGTGTCAGTTTCAAACTGACAGAGGTACTGAATTTATGTCAACTAAATTCCAACAATGGTTGGGTCAGTTGGGGATAAAAGGATATCACTTTAGCAATGGAAGTAAAAGAATTGTATTTTCAAGGTCTGCTAATTTTGCAGAACAAAATTGGGACAGAATTAATGCAAATTCTGGGTATGTCTCACTTAATGACAGTGATCTATTTAACGACAATAACATATCTAATGATGGAACAATGATTATTGAAGATGTTAATGTTCAGGGAAAATAGAGGCTGAACAGGACATGAAGCCAGAAAGACTTGAGACACAGGAACAGTTAATACCATGTAGGTCAGAGCGATGTAACAAAGGAATTCCGTCTGACGGTATTCTGCCAGCAGGGTAAAGGTTTGCAATGTGAGGTATGAGCCAAGAAGTTATAAAGAGGTGTTGGCATTACCAAAGGCTGAACAAGAAAGATGGAAGGAGGCCATGGATAAAGAGATGAAATCCATGGGAGACCATGAAGTATTTAAATCAGTGACTTTGCCACAGGGAACCAAAGCTGTGGGTTGTAAGTGGATATATAAGAAAAAGATATTGCCAAATAATGATGTACAGTATAAGGCCAGGTTAGTGGCACAAGATTTTTCACAATTAAAGAATGTGCACTACAATGAAGTATTTGCACCAACTGTGAAAAGTGAGAGTATAAGATTAGCACTGGCATTGGCAGCGGCATATAAGTATAAAATCTGGCACTTTGATATCACAACTGCATTCCTCAATGCTGAGTTAGAGGAAGAAATTTATATGATCCAAGCACCAGGATATGAAATTGCAAAGCCTAACATGGTGTATAAATTAAACAAGGCTATTTATGGGCTGAAGCAGTCAGCCAGAAACTGGAATATCTGTTTAGATACTGCTTTAAAGGGCCTTGGATTTAAGAGTTGCAAAGCTGATAATTGTATATATACTGGACAGTTACAGTTACAAGGAGGGAATTGTCTACTGTTATCATTTGTGGATGATCTTTGCTTCATTGCAAAGGATGCAACACAAGTAAAAGAATTTGCTGATAAATTAGGAAAGAAATTTGAATTAAAGAATTTGGGAGAAATAAAAAATTATCTCGGAGTAGAGATACAGAAAAATGAAAAAGGTGGTTATATTCTCAGTCAAAAGAGAAAAATTGAGCAGTTATTGGAAAAATATAATATGAAAGATAGCAATACTGCTCCCACACCCATGAGTATGATTTTTATAATAGTTTAAGTGCGGACAAAGGTGAAACCTGTGATCAAGAGATATGTCACTCAGCAATAGGAAGTTTATTATATCTATCACAGTGGTCCAGACCAGACATAGCTTGCGCAGTAAGCATTTTGAGTCGTTTTACTGCTGCACCTACAAAGATACATTGGATGGGTGTAAAAAGGATTCTCAGATATTTAAAGGGAACCATAAATTTGGGTCTTCAAATACAGATTACTGAGGAATTGAAATTAAAGTGTTATGTTGATAATGACTATGCAAATGACATAAACACAAGGAAATCAAATTCTGGGATTATAATATTGTTTGGAAGGACTCTGATTGGATGAGAAGTCCAGAAAACAAACAACTGTTGCTATTTCAACAGCGGAAACAGAGTTTATTGCTTTATCTGAATTGTGTTCTGAAGTAACATGGTATGTAAAGTTGTTGCAAGATTTAAATATTAATGTAAAAGAATCTGTAAAGGTATTTGAAGACAATGCTGCCTGTATAAAAAAGGCAACTGGTGACAGGGTGAAGAACAGAAGTAAACATGTAGACATTAAGTATCATAATGTCAGGGAAGTTGTAAAAGAAAAAAATAATTAGTTTACATCATTGTTCTTCTGAGAATAATTTGGCAGACATGATGACTAAACCATTGGGTGGTGTTCACTATGGAGAATCTATTAAGTCAATAGGTCTGATGTCTCTTCCTGTCATGAAGGGAGGAGTGTTGGAATATTCATGAGCAGGAATAGTCATGTGGTAACTCAGTCACCCAATGTGAGAAGAGTGCTATTGAGTGTGCAAAAGGGTATTGAGTTAGAAGCTGGATTTTTTATATTCAGTCTCAGGTCTGTCTCTGTATCTCTCTGTAAGAAGTCTTCATTGTGCTATGTTGCTGTAAAGAAGAATGTATGGTATTGTAAATATTTTGATATGAATATAAAGAAGTTATTTGAATCAGCTAAATGCAGTCAACTGTGAGAGCTTCTGATTTATTTTCACCAATAGAGAAATTAAAATTCTCTAACAGATTCTTCTTCTTATTAAGAGATATTTCATTAGTTTGTCCACTCTTCCTAAGAAATAAATATTCACTTCCATAAATTGTTGAAATTCTTGTTTTTGTTATTGTATTTCAAAAGTGTCCCTATTTAGTTGGTCACATTTTTTGGGTTCCATTGTTTAATCAAAACATATCAATTCTTAATTCCTTCCTTCCTTCCTTCCTTCCTTCCTTCCTTCCTTCCTTCCTTCCTTATTTATTTATTTATGAGACTTATATACCGCTTTAAGTGCAAGCACTCTCTAAGCGGTGTAGGGTCCTCATTTTACCTACCCCAGAAGGATGGAAGGCTGAGTCAACTTTGAGCCATGCACTCTAACTGCTGCGCCACCTCGGCTCATTCCTTCCTTCCTCTCCAACTTCACAGTCATTGTATTATATGTAGTTTTTAAATTGTACAATCATATTTTTGTGGTTTTTCATTTTTCATCTTTAAAAAAACTGAAATAATATCCTTTTTTTCAGTGTGCATAAATTCTCTTCAGTGCAAATGTTTGTGAATCTCTACTATGATGCTTTTGGTTATAAAGCTGAAATCATCCCAGGATTTGTTTAATTAATTAATTGAAACATTGTTGTGATTGTGATCATCACTTGTAATTCCATTGTAAGAATTTATAATTTTTCATGTAGTAATGGATTTATTTTTTTTGTCCAATTCAGTTTCTAAAAAATAAATCCTTATCCATGAAAAACCAGATAATTTAATTAGCTGAAAGTGTTCAGCACACTAGACCAGAAATGTCAAACACAAGGACCAGGGGCCGGATATGGCCCACGAAGTGGTTTCATGTGGCCCACTAAGCCATCCTGGAAAAAGTGAGGGAACGGCCCCCTCTCTCTTGGCCTGGAGCCAATGTACAATTTTGTGGTGGCCATCTATGCTGAAATGCATTCAGTCTTAGATCCACAAGGCCATCTCAAAACAGCGAGGAACCAGCCCCTGCCGCATCAGCCCCGCCTCCTGGGTGCATGCTGGGGAGGTATTACCCTTTGTAAGGAATGAAGAAATGCACCATCGCCTGCAAGTGGCCAGTAAATGATACTTTCCTACTTCACATATCCAGCTTGATGGGCTCCAGGGGAGGGGTTTTGGCAGGCAGCGGGGCACTCTCCTCACAACGCCAAGAGCTGAGCTGGGGCGCGAATATGATAAGTGCAATGCTGCCTAGCCCCCAGCCTGCCCAGTTTCAGCAGGCAGCAAGGTGAAAAGCTAATGAGCTTTGCACCGCCCAGCTCAACCTTTCGGCACTGTGATGAGAGTGCAGTGGGATTTGAGATGGTGAGCTGCATTGCTGTTGTTTGGCTTTGTGTTCATGGTTGTGCCTCATCTTCATGGACCACAAACCAGAAGCCAGACCACAGCTGCATCATTAGCCACTTTAAACCCTCCAATCCATATATGAAGCAAACTGACACCCACCATGAAGATGAGGCACGACCATGAACGTGAAGCCAAACAACAGCAATGCAGCTCACCATCTCAAATCCCCCTGCAACTCAGATTAAACTGAGCACAACAAACCCCCCACCCAAACAGAACACTCCCCCATCCAATCAGAGCACAGCCAACCCCCCCATCCAATCAGAGCACAGCCAAGCCCCTAACCAATCAGAACACACCTCCACCCAATCAGAACACAGCCAAGCTCCCACCCAAACAGTTCATACCCCCACTGGCAGTTAAAAGGAAGAAACAGCTACGATCACACATTGCTCCTAGAAGTACAAAGCCGAAAACACCAGCCTGAAGATGACGACTGGGACTTCGTCGAAACATCACCAAGACACTTCCAATTTTACATGGGAGAAAACCCGAACAACCGAAGACCTACATACAAACACCCGCGAAAACCTCAGAAAACATATATAACAGCTACGATCACACATTGCTCCTAGAAGCACGAAGCTGAAAACACCAGCCTGAAGATGACGAATGGGACTTCGTCGAAACGTCGCCAAGACACTTCCAATTTTACGCGGGAGAAAACAAGCTTTCGCCGTCACCTGCCGGCATCATCAGAGCTGGACTGCCAGGGTGTGAGAGAGTCATTTTATAGGCAGGCCAGAGTCTGCACTCGGCTCTTCGATCTCGTCACTGGACCCAATTGGTTAAATTGTGCTCCGGTGGTTTGTTTCTTTCTGTCCTTCCTAGCTGCGTGTGTATCTTCATCTACCTTCTTTTCTTTGGATTCTAAGGCAGGTGATGTAAACCCCTTGTCTCTTCGATTGTCTCTATCTCTCAATCCATTCCCCCTTTCGGGTTCAAGTGGTAGTTTGTATTTGTCCTTTTCCTTTCTCCAATCATGCTTCACCCAGTCACTTTCTCTATGAGTATCTTTCTTTTCATCCTTAATGCCCCTCCCTCGTGCCCAACTGTCATTAGAATGGTCGTGCACAATGTTCCAGACTGGCTGGGGTGGCTCAATGGATTGTTTTTCTATGAGGGTGATCTCATGGTTATAATTATCTTTGGCCATCATATCCTTCTCTTCCTTTTTATCCTCTGTGCTCCCATCGCATATACCACAATCCGAGGTCTTGATCGGGGAGGGGGTGGAGTTGCGATCTTCCTGAGCATCACAACGCTCCTTCCCTACTCTCCTCCTCATTCCGACGTCTCTCGCTCCTGCACGTGCACGATAGGAGTCTTTGGAGTCCATGGGTGTTGTTGGCACAAGACGCAGCGAGCTGATCTCATTAGCTCCGCCCTCTCGCGCACCTCTCCGTCTGGACTCATTTTTCTCCTTACTTTCTGGAGCGTCCGCAAGCTTGCTGTCATGCTCGGTGTTGCCCCGCACTCCATATGTTTTTGAGCCGGCTGACGATGCGGAGTGGGGGGATCGCTTCTTTCCCCTCAAATGAGTCATCCTGTTTCTTTCTGAGTGTCGGTGAGGTGTCAGGTCTAATGATCTCTCCCCATCTTTGTCTATCATATCTCATTGCATGCCAATTGGGATATCTCCGATGTTCGTGATGCAGGGGTTCTGGGCTTCAATTTCTATCGCTCTCTTAGTTTTTTGCAAGCGTGTTAACATTGTGGGAGTAGTGGGAATTCTCAATCGTTGTCCCTCCTCTTCTGAATTGCATCGAGTTGGTTGGGGGGTTGGCACATCCCCTATGGTTCTCTCACTGGATTTACTATCGGGCCAGTGGTAGCGAGATGGGTGGTTGGTCGCACTCCATGATCTAAGTGCTAAGTGTGCCGGACAGAGGTCAATATGCCGGTTGATAGAGCTGCCATTGGATAGCCATGCTTCCTTAAGCAGTCGGCCTCCCTTAGTACTGTCACTTGCCAAGACGACTACTTCATTAAAATTAAAGCGGTGGCCCAATTCCGCCATATGAATCCAAATCTGGGAGTGCTGTTCGCCCCTTTTCACAGCTAGTCTGTGTTCGTGGACCCTGGTCTTCACTTGTTTGGAAGTCTCCCCAACATAGTTGCACGGACAGTCCATACATTCGATCTTATATATGGCTGCCGATCTCTCCATGTTGGGGAGCGGGTCCTTGGGGCGCATAATGGCTGCCCATAGCATTTGGCTGGGTCTATGTGCTACCTGTATATTATATGGTGCCAAAATTCTCGCCGTAGCCTCTGATACATTGCAGATATAGGGGAGGATAATACGTATTGTCTGTGGTGTCAACTCATTAGGTGTGAGGTTACTCCGGGGTTCAGATGGTATACTAAACCGGTTGATGAATCTTGCCGGATACCCATTGTGCTTACACACTTGGAAGAGGTGGTTTCTTTCCTCCCTCTTAGCTTTGACAGTGCTGCAATGTGACTCCACCGTTTGAATACAGTCTTAACACAACTGACTTTATGGGCTATTGGTTGGTTGCTCTCAAAATGGAGGATCCTATCCATGCAAGTTGCTTTTCGGTATACTCTGGTGGTCAAAAATCCATCCAGTTGGCGTTGCACCAATACATCTAGAAATGCTAGTGCGCCCTGATTTTCCTCTTCCATGGTGAACTGGATGTCCGGGTATACTGAATTCAAAATGCCCATAAAGTCAGTCTTGTGTTGCTTCTTGATGACTACAAACGTATCGTCCACATAGCGGGCCCAAAATTTTGGTTGGTACTGGGCCATCGCTATGTGTTCCAAACGTTGGAGCACCACATCTGCAATTACTCTTGAGATCGGAGACCCCATTGGTGTTCCCTTGATCTGCTCAAATATAGTGCCCTGAAAGGTGAAGTAGGTCTTTAAGCAGACTCCCACCAGTTTTATAAGGTCTTCCGTTTGGAGGGAGTCCTGATGTTGTTCCTGTTCTCCTTGATTCAACCGGTCTCTTAATACTGACATCGCAAGATTTTGCGGAATAGAGGTGAATAAGGAGACCACATCAAAAGATACCATAAGTTCGTCTTCCAGGTTTTTAAATTAAACTTTTATAGTTTTAATCAATACCTTGGTGTTCATTTTATTTTGGATATGAATATTCCCAGGGTTCATATTTTTAGTGTTATTAACTAGTATTCATATCAAAAAATAAAATGAACACCAGGGTAGTAAAACTATAAAAGTTTAATTAAAAAGCGCCAAGCTTTTGCCGTCCCTGCCGGCATCATCAGGGCTAGAATGCCAGAAAGTGTGAGAGTTTTTTATAGGCAAGTCAGAGTCTGCGCCCGGCTCCTCGATCTCGTCACCGGGCCTAATTGATTCAACTGCGCTTGATTGGTTTGTTTCTTCCTATTCCTCTTAGTTACGTGTGTGTTGTCGTCTCTCCTCCTTTCTTTCGATTCTGGGATGGGTGGGATAACTCCCCTGCAGTTCAAATTATCTCTGTTCCTCAACCCATCCTCCCCATCAGGTTTGAGTGGTAACGTACACTTCCCCTTCCTTTCCCAATCATCGTCCGCTCGGCTGTTCTTTTTGCGATAGCCTTCTCTTTTGACTTTAGTACTTTCTCCTCCCATCCAACTATCATCCGGGCAATCCTGTAAGTCGTTCTGAGTTGGCTGCGATATGCTGGTAATCTGGGACAGGTTGATGGATTGTTTGTTTTTTGGGGGGCGGTCCCTGGCTGTGATTACATTCAGCCGTCTTACGTTGAACCAATTAGGCCCGGTGACGAAATCGAGGAGCCGGGCGCAGACTCTGACTTGCCTATAAAAAACTCTCACACTTTCTGGCGTTCTAGCCCTGATGATGCCGGCAGGGACGGCGAAAACTTGGCGCTTTTTAATTAAACTTTTATAGTTTTACTACCCTGGTGTTCATTTTTTATATATATATATATATATTTGTTTTCCGAGGTTTTCGCGGGTGTTTGTATGTAGGTCTTTGGTTGTTCGGGTTTTCTCCCGCGTAAAATTGGAAGTGTCTTGGCGACGTTTCGACGAAGTCCCATTCGTCATCTTCAGGCTGGTGTTTTCAGCTTCGTGCTTCGAGCAGCAATGTGTGGTCTTAGCTGTTTCTTCCTTTTAACTGCCAGTGGGGGTATGAACTGATTGGGTGGGAGCTTGGCTGTGTTCTGATTGGGTGGAGGTGTGTTCTGATTGGTTAGGGGCATGGCTGTGCTCTGATTGGCTGGGGGGTTGGCTGTGCTCTGATTGGCTGGGGGAGTGTTCTGTTTGGTTGTGCTCAGGTTAGTCTGAGTTGCAGAGGGGTTTAAGATTTTGGGCTGCCTTGCTATTTTTTGGCTTCGCGTTTGTGGTCGTGCCTCATTTTCATGGAGGGTGTCAGTTTGCTTCATGTATGGATTGGAGGGCTTTAAAGTGGCTAATGATGCAGCTCTGGTCTGGCTTCTGGTTTGTGGTCGTGCCTCATCATCGATGTGGCTTTGGGTTTGCTTTTTGCGTGGATGTGTGGTGGTGACATCCTGTGTGGTTTTTGTGAGTGTGGGTCTGGTATCATTTTTTGTATTAGGGAGTCGTTTGTCAATAAGGGCGGGTTTCCAAATGGCTGGTAGGCGGGAGGTATCATCTCGCTTGTTCATGCTGTGTGGGCGTTTTTCTATCTCGATGGCTTCTCTGATTATTCTGTTATTAAAATGTTCACTTTTGGCAATGGTTCTGGTATTTTTAAAGTCAATTTCATGTCCTGTGGCTTTAAGGTGTTGGACCAGGGAAGATGTTGGTTCCTCTTTTTTGACTGAGTTCTTATGTTCTTCAATGCGTGCACTTATTCTTCTGTTGGTTTGTCCGATGTATGTGGTGGGACAAGTGGTGCATGGATTTCGTATACTCCTTGATTTTCTAATTCAATTTTATCTTTGGGGTTTCTAAGGATGGTGGATATTTTTCTGTTTGTGCAGAATGCTGTTTTGATGTTGTGTTTATGGAGGATCTTACTGATTCTGTCTGTGGTGCCTTTTATGTATGGGAGGAGGGCTTTGCCGTTTTCTTGTTCTTCGTCTTGGATTTTAGTGGGGGTTTCTTTTTGGATTAGGTTTGTAATCTTATTTCTTTGGAATCCATTGGATGTTAGTACATTGGTGAGAGTGTGTAGTTCGGTTTTTAGGTGTTGTTCGTCAGCTAAGCGTTTTGTTCTGGAGATGAGTGTCTTGGCTACAGAGTTGATCTGTGCTGGGTGGTGGTGTGAGAGAGCGTGCAGATATGGTGTGTCCTAGGGAGCCATTGGATTTCTTGTAGACTAAGACATCCAGGAAGGGAAGTTGGTTGTTAGCTTCTGTTTCCATGGTGAACTGTATTTTGGGGTGTAGGCTGTTGAGGTGTGTGAGGAAGTTGTCTAGTTTTTCTTTCCCACGTGGCCAGATTATGAAGGTGTCGTCTACGTATCTGAGCCAGAGTTTGGGTTTGTGATTCGATTTTTCTAGAGCTTTGGTTTCAAAGTGTTCCATGTAGAGGTTTGCAATGACAGGTGAGAGGGGTGATCCCATGGGTGCTCCTTCTGTTTGTTTGTATTTTTGTCCATTATAGATGAAGTATGTGTTGGATAGGCAGTGGTTGGTCAGATCTAAGATGTGTTGGGGGGGTTATATTTGTTTTGGATAGCTGTCAAGGCTTCTTTGATAGGCACTTGGGTGAAGAGGGATATGACATCGAAGCTCACTAGTAGGTCGCTGGGCTGTAAGTTTTGTTTCTTTATGATCTCTATAAACTGGAATGAGTTTTTTACGTGTGAGGTGATGGATTCTGCATAGGGCTGTAGTTGTTTGGCGAGAAATTTGGCTAGGTTTTGTAGAGGTGAGCCTATGGAGCTGACTATAGGTCTGAGTGGGGTTCCTTCCTTGTGTATCTTGGGGAGACCATAGAGTTTGGGGCATCTGGATGATTTCTCTCTGGGAATGATTCTTTGCTGGATCTCTTCGCTAATGGGGGAGGCTTTTATTTTGGATCTGGTGGTTTTTTCCAGGTAGGTGGTGGGATCTGTATTTAGGGGTTTGTATGTGGAGTCTTGGAGTAGGTTGGTTAATTTGGTTTGGTAGTCAGATGTGTTCATAACCACCGTGGTATTGCCCTTGTCTGCTGGTAGGATTCCAAAGAAATAAGATTACAAACCTAATCCAAAAAGAAACCCCCACTAAAATCCAAGATGAAGAACAAGAAAACGGCAAAGCCCTCCTCCCATACATAAAAGGCACCACAGACAGAATCAGTAAGATCCTCCATAAACACAAAATCAAAACAGCATTCTGCACAAACAGAAAAATATCCACCATCCTTAGAAACCCCAAAGATAAAATTGAATTAGAAAATCAAGGAGTATACGAAATCCCATGCACCACTTGTCCCACCACATACATCGGACAAACAACAGAAGAATAAGTGCACGCATTGAAGAACATAAGAACTCAGTCAAAAAAGAGGAACCAACATCTTCCCTGGTCCAACACCTAAAAGCCACAGGACACGAAATTGACTTTAAAAATACCAGAACCATTGCCAAAAGTGAACATTTTAATAACAGAATAATCAGAGAAGCCATCGAGATAGAAAAACGCCCACACAGCATGAA